TACTAGGGTGGAGGCCATCGCTACTAGGGTGGAGGCCATCGCTACTATAGGATGGAGGCCATCGCCACTAGATGGAGGCCATCGCTACTAGGGTCTTGGCCATCGCTACTAGGGTGGAGGCCATCGTTACTAGGTGGAGGCCGCTACTAGGGTGGAGGCCATCGCTGCTAGGGTGGAGGCCATCTCTACTAGGGTGGAGACCATCGCTACTAGGTGGAGGCCATCGCTCCTAGGGTGTTGGCCATCGCTACTAGGGTGGAGACCATCGCTACTAGGGTGGAGGCCATCGCTGCTAGGGTGGAGGCCATCGCTACTAGGGTGGAGACCATTGCTTCTAGGGTGGAGACCATCGCTACTAGGGTGGAGGCCATGTGGAGGCCATCGCTACTAGGGTGGAGACCATCGCTACTAGGGTGGAGACCATCGCTACTAGGGTGTTGGCCATCGCTACTAGGGTGGAGGCCATTGCAATGCGTTTTGTTTCAGTTCTCAATGTGCACCGGCCTTGCGAGACCTCGAGGGCCACCCGAGCGATGTAAGACCATCGCAATGTTGGTCACTGGAGATGTCTCATGAGGTCTGCACCCCAATACAATTGGCAAATGGATTCGAACAAACATCGTCCAACTGAAAAAGACTTATTCAATCACAATTTTCGATAATAGCACACGACCACTTGCTTATAATGTAATTAACTGAGAAATAATGTCCTCTGATTGCAATAAATTCTTCAGATAAGATAGTGGAGTGCTTTAACCTGCTCATCAAGTGGCCACATGCGGTTGCCTGAGCAGGCCCAACTTTGCTAGAATTATGGAGTTGCTCTTTCTTCTTGACTTGGTTAACTACTTCTTGCGTCCTGAGTGCTCGTATTCTTCCCACCAGAAACTCTTTCACTCTGCATAGTCCTGCAGTGCTCTCTCCTCTTGAGTTCTGAGTGCAAAAGTGCTAAAGATATAGAAAGGTCCTTTTGTGGAATGCTAGAAGCTACTAGTAGCAGGGGCATCGTTAGTAGTAACAAATGCATCGCTACTAGTAGCTAGAAGCCACATGCCACCAGCAAATGCTCAAACTCCGCTGCTGTTGCAGTTCCCAGTTGAGAGATCCAAAGTCTCGTGACATCAAAACTGGTCAAGGTTTGGCCCAACCAAATTGTGGGCAAAGAAACTACGCGCATCGTATTAAAGTGTTGGGAGCTATGGGATGATGATTTTGTCTAGCATTATGTATACAACTAGATACGCGATCCTAACACTTCTAGAGTAGTATAGTGTATACTTGCAAGTGTATATGTTTCACGATCTAGAGTAGTATAGTGTATACTCACTTTCGAATTGGTCCATCCCCTTTTGGCTTCACGCGTCTAATTCTTGAAATTCTAAAGCATCGGTCTGAAAACGACAATCGAGATGCACCAAAATGCTCTTGCGAAAAGCAAATGTGTAGATGTTGAGTGTTTGTCAATCAAGCTCTCAGTCGAGCAGCATCCCTTACAGTTGCGCCTGAGTATGGGACCGATACCAATCTGCACAACAAAACAAACGACAAGCTTGCCCCATCGCTCAGAATGGAACTGGAACAAGCAGCCCGGGTCACCCCGTTTTCCACACAGTTCTCTGCGGTGTGCGGTTCTGTTTCTAAGGCGCCCGATCTCTCTTTCGATCCAGCTGTCTGGCTCCCCCGACGCAACAGTAGCGTGCTCCATCTTCAAAAGAAAAGTGCGGTGATTGTGATGGATTGTGATGATCCATTCAAGAAAGACCCCCAAGATTCCTTTCCTAGCTCATTCTACATAGAAACAACATGAATAACTACAATAGTCGAGGGAAAATAACCATCTGAAGTTTGGCAAACCTATTAAGCCATGCTCAGGTAGCCACAGGAAGCACAAGCCTGCCATGCTTCAGTTGGCTCTGGCTAAGAAAAACCAAGGTAAACAGTGACAGCACTAAGTGTGTCAGGAATCGATTTCTCTCAAATTGTGCAGGCCAATAACTGACATGTCACACAGGTCAAACCTCTTTCAAATGCCCAAAGTTAGGATCTTGGGTTCCCCACTTGCCACCGTACCATTTGCTCCTGGCATAGTAATAGAAGAAGTCGGCATAAAGCACCTTAGTGCGCTCCTCACATCAGGCTTTGAAGCTTCAAAATTAGTGGTCGCCTCCTACTTGCACTTACGTAATACAACCGAGGCCGCAGATCTGTATGAACATGTGAGCATGCAACTTTCAGGATTTGAATTTGCTCCGTATGGTCGCTCTCACCAGGAAAGGACATGTAATTAACCCTCAAGTCTCAAGTTTCAATATTAAGTGCCGAAGAACTGACGGCCCACTCGGAAGAAGCATTTGATTTGTATGAGAATCACTGTCTGCAGCTGGGGCACTGTCTGCACCAAACCACCGACCCAGCCAACCCAATTCACGTAGTCGTCTGCCTCAGTAACTGAAAACATTGTGGGCGGGGTGAAGCTTTTGTCTCACAAAGCTGATGACATCAGCCATGCAATCAAATTCCTGATCAAGCATTAAGGAAGCTGAATCCTTGCATACAAATCCACTCACATGACTAAAGTCTATTGTATATAATGTACAGAATCACGGAGTGCTTGAGGCAAGCTCTAATGTTGCAAGTCCAGCGTAGTCCCAAAACCCTTTTGTTCGAGCTTCCCCTAACCAACTGTCTTGACTAAGCTTGGGTGTGGACAAGAAGCAATGTCTGTTTTGATTGATGAACAAACTGTTTCAGGCATCAAGTCTGGGACAGGGAGAAACTTTGCATCTATTGTTGAGTTCACTGAAGCGGCTATTTGCTGCGTTATGTCTTGGAAATCTGGACGTATGCATAGGGCGAGAGTTGTGCGCAAACAACTCAATCCAAAAAAGCTACCCAAAACTGGCGACAGTTTGAAGTTTGAACAACCATCACATTTTGAACATTAATCCACAAAAGTAGAATCTTTGAGCCACGTGGAACGCGTTTTGGCCAAGAAAGGCAACCACTAAGCGCTCGGCAAAATATCGATAGATCCAATTGAGGATATACAGCGCTCGGTACCTCTTGACAACACAAAAGCAGATAAATCTGTTCAGTGATTCTCACTGAGGCGGGGAAATTGATCGAACCATAAAGAAAACCTGTTTGTTAAGTCATTGAGCATCAACCGTGAGGGGGCAATCATGCCTTGCTGGCTTCAACCATAGGGATAGCGCCAGGGAGGCAATCAGTATTGTCATGTTGTCTCACCTTCTTTAGATGTTAGATAGATTTGGAATGTCAACAACAAGCTCTCACGTCTCTTTTGGCTGTGTTGGAGCACGCTCCCATTGTTGCAACGAACTGCGAGGTCAAGTTCTCAACCTGCAACGTATCAGAAGGGCGTAAAGGCGCGCCAGAGCAAGGGCTGCTCTCCGTGTAGGGAATATGAGTACACCTTGACACTGCTAAACCACTGATATAAGACAACTGAAACTCTTCTCGAAGTGTACAACTGACATATGGCTACAAATCAAACGAAACACATCCTTCACTCTACAGTGGACAGCCCAGCTACTGGTCTTTCAACATTGCAAAGATTCAGCCAATATTTGTCCGTCCTCCAAAGCCTCGGCCCAGGCTGTGCCCCCATTTGACAAACAAACATACATTGCATTATAGGAGCAAGGACGCTACTAGGGGCTCCTGGCCATACTACTAGGAACAAGAAGCTACTAGGGTCTCCTGGCCTTACTACTAGGAGCAAGGACGCTACTAAACTCTGTTAAAGCTCCCGAAAGCCCCTCTCAGGGTATGGGGCAATATCTCAATTGCCTCATGGCTAAGTGTCAACAACAGAAATTCTGATAAATTCATTGCGTGACTTTGTGTAGCTTGTATTGCCCACCAATGTAAAGCCAATCAAAGACGCGCAAGAATACTTGTGCGGCAGGAGCAGCATACGTCCTCCCAGGCACCTCCCTCATCTGCTGCAACAAAACCAACTGTGGCACGATCGCCACACTCTCCAGCCAAATGGAGGTAGTCCATAGGACCTGCCACCAAAAAGCTGAAAAAGCAAGAATGAAGAGCAAAGCCGCGCCAAAGCCGGCAAAGCCACCAGGGTGAAAAACATCTGTGCCTCTGCCACAGAGTACTCTTCGGTGCACAGGATGCCCAGGAGAAAGCAAGGTCCAAGCAAATAGATCTCGTACTGAAACTTGTCAGTACTCCTGTCAGCATACTGCAAATGTCCACGCAGTGCGAACGAACCATCTTCGTTTCAATCAAAGGCATTTACCTCTGTAGAATTTCCGCGTCTGGCTGGTAAGAAGCTTTGCATCTCTTGATTCCACACAAACAATATCATCTTGAACGTCCCGTCCGGTAGGCCTTTCGTAGGTCTGAGAGATAGGTGGCTTCACTCGCATCAAATAGATCAAGTAGATCCTGGCAGACGAACGCTTCGCGGCCCGCAGCGCTTCCCCACCTTTTCGGCCCATTCAAAAGAGGCGAGGTGCCTAAGCGTGCCTTTGCATTCCAGAACCAAACAAAAACAGCATACACCCATACTGGCCCATACTGGTAGTACATCATGAATCGCATAAATACACCAAACAAACTCGTTCAACTGGTACACTCTGAAGAGTATGTATGTAACGAAGAATAGTATGGAATAGTACTCATGTCACATGTCCCCAAACTTGTCTTTGGGAGGAATTGCAGCAATAGCAGCTGCCGCTCAAGCACATTATCCTGAGCTTTCACATATAATATATTTATATTATATACATATACATGTATTCTATTTATCATGTCAGTTCTTTGTGCACTTTAGTCCTCTCCATCAGACAAACTGCCAGAATGACGTGGCAGTGATAAAGACCACCTTCATCACAGTATTGTAGACCTGGCAGCTCAAAGCCCCAAAGCTCTAGATGGAGCAAGGCTATTCTGCGCAATCTGTCACACTGTAAGAGGCTGGTGGAACTGAAGCTGTGCCGACCCAAACACCAGCCAGCCACAACATGAGGGACAATGATTCTAAGCCACGGAAAGGTTCGCGGCTTGGATAAACAAACATGGACAAACAAGTCGTGCACCGATCAACACAAGGCGTTTCAATCATCTTGCAGTTAAAAAACACGTCACGTCATTGGATGCAAACCGCATAGGAGAATTACGGCTTTACTGTGGCACGTGACACATCACGTGTGCTTTAGATTAAGGACTACCTACTACTTGCTCTGGCAAGGACGGTGTGCGACGGCTTCCGGTCTCATGGCTTGAGGGACTGAGATGTAGCTCCACAAGAGGTCCAGGTATCGAAAAATGAAGACCAGGGCATACATCTCCTGCGAGAGATCTCTTTCAGATTCTCTTTTCTTTCGTGTTCATTCTTTTTCATTCATTTATGCCACCTTCTTGACTCGAGACAATCAATAGGCACTCAGCATCTCGCGGCAACGTACCAACTCAGAAACAGATCGAAATGGACTCCCGGTGTTCTTGTTGATTTGTTCGACTAACGCCAACCAGAATTTGTTGCTCGGCTTTGTTGGAACTACAATCTAGTTGGAGCGATGGGAGGAAACTCTTCAATTCAATTTAGCAATTGAATGCAAACATGAGCCTGCATGCGGCATGACACTCCCACGCAGCTCTTGCTCTTGTGCAGCTTCCTGCAAACACGCATCTGTTCACACAGGAAAAGTCCACTTTCATCCACTTTTGATGCCCTTTCTGCGTGAAAAACTTGCCACTCAGCCAGCTCAGAACGGACATTTTTGTTCCAAGGCTCCAAAGCAGCAGCATGATGCTGGTGAGGTGTAGCCTTCAAACAAAACAAACTATAGTTCAAGTCCACATCCCAGTAGCAACATGATGTCCAAATTCTTTTGATGGGTTTGCTACAGTAATTGAGGAGCTGCAAAGGTTCATGATTCATTGTCTGGAAAAAGCAAACTGTGATGGTTTGTACAACTCATATTACGTGCGTACGTATATGAATAGATCTATTCATACTGTACGCTGCTGACTGTACATGTACGCTGAATGCATTGTGTTTCTGCACAAAGCATGAGCCTTTATAACTGTCTCAGGACACGACATATCGCCAGCTAACCGGAATATGTTCCTCAGTGAGAGCAGCATGGATTGATCCACTTGTGTGAATGAGAAAATGAAGAGAGCAGAAAAATCATAAGAAAAATTAAAAAATTATCATTGGACAGGAAACACATCCAATTTGGAAATTGTGGCAGTCTCGCTAACCTGAGTGTTGCCTTTCGCTATCTTCCCCTCTTGCGCAGCCAAGCGGCATGGCTGCGCAGGGCGCACGCACTGAACGCAGCCCGTCGGCGCTCCAAAACCCGAGCTGAGCTGAAGGAAAGGAGCGGATGCTGGTGAAGTTGCAATATTTCCGTCTAAGAAGAGACTCGTCACAGGGCATTAACATATTTCGTTTCCATTTGCGCGAACAAAACCTTTAAGTTCCCCATTGATACCTGAGAAGCGGGGGACGAAAGCCAGCAGCCGCCAAACGAGTGTCTCTTTTTCTGGCGGGCGTCGCGGCGCAAGACACATGGTCGGCAGCTTGCAAGTCAGCGGTGCCGCGGATGCGGGGGGGGCGTATGTAATGGTGATGGAGGGAGCAGAGAAGCAAGCGGGGCGGCTTTGGGATAAGTTTGGTATGAAAGAAGTAGTGAAGTAGTGAAAGAGAAATGCGAGACGTTGTATGTTGGTGTAGGTCATCATCACAAGGCAATGGCATGTGTTTGTCACATGCAGGAAGGCATGCATCTTATGCAAGTTGGAAGGCGACGTGAGCATTAGCGCTCTGAGTTCGAGGGGTGGGATACCACATGCGCGCGCGCGCAGGAAAACCCTCTCCATAGTCAGCATCGCCGCGCGCGCGCGAGTACGGCATGTGTTTGAAAAGAAGCAATTTTGTGTTTGTTACATCTGGAGTGTTTAAAGTTTGCAATGCATACTGCAGCGCGTCGAAAAGCGGCATTTTTTGATTTGGAAGAGCGAACGGGCGCGTCTTGGCCGGGACACGGGACACGGACCTTTGATCCCGCGGCGCAGAAGGGGAGGTCCAGCGCGAGCAGCTTGGGCTAGCAAAGGAGTGAAGATTTGTGCGCCTATCGATGCACATGCCTGGACTTGAGTGAGTCGATCCAAACACATTCTTTATTCTTCTCTTTCTTATCAACTCTGCGCCTTTCTCACTCAGAGGCCTTGACTTTGGCACCTGCGCGTGTAGATCTTTGGGCCGTGGACCCAGGCTGACTGGATTCGGCCAGGACTGCCAGCAAAAAGGCGACGTCATGAGTCAGTAGTATATAGAATTTATCTATCTATCTGCACCGGCAAGCCGGCGGTGCGTGTGGTCGTCGCGAGAAGCACCCACTCGACCCAGGACATGGCGCAAGTATAGGTTTTGCTAGGGGGCAGGAGCCCTATGCGGATATGTAGTCAACCTCGCAGGCATCCCCACCGAAACTCAATCCAACTTCAAGGACATTGAACTCATCACTTTCGGTTCTCTATGGATTTCGCGAGTTACGGGTTGTCCTGGGAACACGTATCCTACATGCGGCTGCGGTCTGTTCTGTACGTGGGCCCTGTCTCCACTCGATTGCTCAATGCCCATTGTCCATGATGCTAATGATGCACTACTCGGCGTCCATTGCGTCACTCGCATCACCAGACCACATCTTCACTGCTTTTCTGACCCTCGCTTTGGAGCGCTCTCCCCCACCAAGCTCCGGGTTCACCCTCCCTCTCAACACCCTCCCCCCCCCACACCTCCTTAACTCACTTCGTTCGCTCTAAAAGCTCAAGCCTAGCCTATCGGCTGGCTTTCGAAATATAATAAGTAGAAGTATATTGCCTGCGGTGCCAATATTATCGGGCCCCTCCTGTTCCGAAACGACAATTACCGAATCATTCAATCTGTTGGGATCTGTATGGTACAGCGGGGATGCACCATTTTACTTCAATGCAAGGTGTCTATGCGACAGTCTAAGTGCAAAGTCTGGGAAGAAGGTGGACTCATCGGATGATCCAAGCCACACAGAACAAGCTTTCAACGATTCGACTCGACTGTTGAACATGTGAATTCCATTAAAATCCTTTATTTTGAGAAGTGACTAATGACCAATGGATACTAAGTTTCCACAGTTTGTCAATGTTTGTCAAAGCTCTCTTTCTGGCTTATGAAATACAACTACAACTATATTGAAATATCATGAAACTACTACATAATGCAGCATGTATCGGATCCCAATCCCAGTACATCTCAAAATGCTCCAATCGTCGGCCCATGAGTTCATGAGCATCTCCAGATCACACCATTTCTCTTCGCCTTCGAAGCGAGGCACTGGTTCTTCGGCCTTCGAGAAATATGCTGGTTGACCGTCTCACGGGAAACTTCAATGCCTGCGATCTGCGTCTTCTGCTTGCTTTCGGCAGCTTGACACAGCCAATTCAACCTCATGCTTCGATCAACCCTCACATTTCTGCCCCCTTTTCGCGGAGGTTGCTTTGATTTCTTCGAATACTCTCACCAACAAGGCATTCATTTGTGGGAAAGCAACCTTTGTTCAAAGATGTTCAAAGCAGGGGATCTACTAATTGAAACTTGAAGCCGGACGGACAGGTATTGTTGCGCCATGTTGCGCCTGTCTTACTCCAGCGCTTTGGACACCGCAAAGTTGGCTTTTCACCTCAGGAATTCCAGTGGTCCTTGAACCACTTCTCGAACATCCGCTTGTGGCCAACCTCATCTCGTGGCTGTTCCCACGGGCTTGTGATACGTTTGGTACAGTCATAGAGACTACGAGAGCGATACTACGCCATGATACGACTTTACCCAGCGGACCTCTCTCCTGACTTTCCATACACTCTGATTCGCTGATCCAAAATACATTCAACATTGTTTCTGATTGACCCGTCTCTCTGGTCAATTAGAATTCTCCAGAATCCTTGTGTCATCCAGGACGCTACTAGGAGCAAAGGGCATCGCTACTAGGAACAAGGACGCTACTAGGGGCTCCTGGCCATACTACTAGGAGCAAGAAGCTACTAGTAACAAGAATTAGAATTAGTAGTAACAAGTGCCTTACTAGTAGTAACAAGAAGCTATAGAATTCTCCTCTCACTCTTCGACGCCGGGACCGGCACCTTCATCTCCACGTTCGACCCGGCCGTGAGATCAGCAAAGAATGTCCTGACAAAACCGGGTGGCTTAGGCCTTCGAAGGCCAGACTGGGGAGTCAGCCAAGGCAAGCGACGAGAACCGGAGGCCACCGGAGGCCCCCCTTTTGGGCAGCTTGCTGATCTTGCTGCCAAGAATCTGATCAATGGAAATCTTTCCATCATCACCAGGCGGAGCAACATAGAGCTCCATGATCTGGAAAGCCGG